CATACATACATACATACATACATACATACACATTTATCACCAAGGCAAGAACACTCTAAAGAAAAAAATATCATTTAGCATGAGTCACGTGGTAGGTGTGTTCCCAGACGTGTACACACATCAGTATCACTGTCCTGCAAATCTTTGAAAGTGTAGACATCATAATTTTCACCTTCAGAGTTGATGTCTGACTTATTACTTTTGGTGAATCCCTTCAGTAATATCACTGTTCTCTCACTCCAACAGCACGTCAAATCTAAATAAGTACTTGCTTTCACTTCAACAGACTGACACATGACTGGAGTATGCTCAACCCCCTTCCCCCTCACCTCTTGACCCTTTTAACAATTACTTGGGCATCTAATGACCAGCATTCACACTAGATTTATGCGCTCTCAGAATCAGCCTATCTTGCTGCATCCTTTCTACATGACCAAACCGTTTCAGCAACAAACATTCTTGCGCTTATATTGTCTCTGTCACTAACTTCTTTCCTGCATGTAGCACAACACACACACACACACACACACACACACACACACACACACACACACACACACACACACACACACACATACACACACATACACACACAACACACACACACACACACACACACACACACACACACACACACACACACACACACACACACACACACACACACACACACATACACACTATCGACAAGTGCCCCTGACATCCAGTAACTCACACAACAGACCAAGTAATAATGGGTAATGATATCTGAGAGAAAGTAAGTTATTTAATATTTAGCCTTCCTGTGTTATTTAATACCCATTGTGCTATAACTGTCCATTATATATTGAACATAGTCATAATTTTAAAAAATAAAAGAAAACTATAAGAAAAGTATCGGTATCGGTCGAAAATTATGTATTGGTATTGCTTAATATTAGGTATCGTCCAGTCACTACTCTCTACACTCCATTCTTTTCCCTCAATATACCTCGCTTTCCCATAGTCTACTCGGTAATTCACCTCATTTTTCATAGACATCCACAGACACGTTCACTCTCCACTACATTCACTTCCTTCCCATATAAATTTTAAATCTTTTATTCCCTAAATTTTCATTTCTTCGTCTTGCTGTTTTCAGCATTTACTTTCATCTTTCTGTTTTAGCACTGCTTTCCCATCCCACAACCTGTGAAGGAACTTCTGACTCTCCAAACATAGTGTGTCATCAGCAAACATCAGAACACAGTGTGTCATCAGCAAACATCAGAACACAGTGTGTCATCAGCAAACATCAGAACACAGTGTGTCATCAGCAAACATCAGAACACAGTGTGTCATCAGCAAACATCAGAACAGTGTGTCATCAGCAAACAATATCTGTGGCTACTCCCACATTTCATTTGATTATATTAAGACAGCACGTCTTCTCCAGTCTAGCACTTCCAGATATAATGTCATCTGTTAAGACATAAAACAACTAGAGTGAGACCTGATGCACCGCTCCACCTGGGTCTGCCTCTCCTCATAACCTTTCACAGTTCTCAACATTTTAGTAATTATTCCATAAATCTACAACGTCTGCCATTACTGCTCTGGCCCAACACCATCATAAGTCTTCTTCCAAGTCTGTAACAACACAAGGCAACTTCTCCTTATCTATATACATCTCACTTTTATTACGTTTTAGTACAAACAGTTGGGCCAAACTTTCTCCCACATATCTCTATCTAGATTCATCCTCTGCAGTCATGCTTTCTCTATCCCTGGCTACTTTCTTACCCTCGCCCCACACTTAAGCTAATAAACTTGGCGCCCAAGGGTTAAAGCCTTGTCTAGGGTCATATGCTAAATATAAAAAAAACTACAGCAGCCTAGGGCCAAGCTTGTTACTAAACAAAAAGCGCTAAACAGTGATGGTCAGCACTTTATTACACCTGAGGTTGATTACCAGGAAGGACAAATAAACATACATGTACAAAAATATATAACACTATATACAACACACATTACAAAAAGTTACCATACACCAGTACACTTTACCAGTATCTCGCAGTTAGGTCACAATATTATTACAATCAAAACAAAGTGCTAAACCCACAAAGGTTATTAAGCCACAGAAGAATAAAATATTGCTGGGGACTATAGATGGTGTCTCCCTGACAGCTTCCAGTCCGCCGGTAAGTGTAACTTACTGCACTTCCCACTAACCTCACAACTCCACATAAATACCAGGGCCTTGCTCAGTGCTACGAACAACTTAAAAGATTGCCAAAAAAATATTTCCTCAAACTTATGGCCTAAAACTTACACAAAATACCACACACCAGTAACAGACTGGCTGATCAGGTCCTGATCCATCGCGAGGCCTGGTCACGGACCGGACCGCGGGGGCGTTGACCCCCGAAAATCTTTCCAGATATACACTGCTTAACCAAACTCCATGACACCTTCTTCCAAGCACTGCCCCTCGTTACTGTCTCCTCGTCACTCTCGCCTGTACACTCAAAACTGGACGTGTCTAAAACACGTCCGTTTGCGTGTTCGGTCATCGTCTACTTAACCACTCACACAATTTTCAACTGTACACACATTTTTTTTTTGTTTTACAACAATGAAGTATCCTTCACAGCGCGCTCGCGCGCACACACAACACACACACACACCACACACACCACCACACACACACACCCACACCACACACACACACATCAAACTACACACACACACACACACACACACACCACACACACAACACATACACACACATACCCATATACACACATACACACACACACACACACCACATAAACACCATACACATATACACACATACACACCACACACACACACACACACACACACACACACACACACACACACACACACACACAACATACACACATACACACACACATTACACACCATACACACACACACATTACACACATACCACACACATACACACTACTACACAACACACACACCAACACACACACACACAAATACACACACACACACAACACACACACACCACACACACACACCACACACACACACACACACTATACACACACACACACCCCACACTATATACACATAACACCACATACACACACACACACACATATATCACACACACACACATCAACACACAACACACATACACACACACCACACATATACACACACACAATACACACACAACACATATACACACACACATATATACACACAACATACACACACATACACACATATATACCACACACACAATACACACACACATACACACACACACACACACACACAACACACACACACAACACACATACACACACATACATACACACACACACACACACACACACACACACACACACACACACACACACACACACACACAACACACACACACACACACACACACACATATACACACATACACACATATATACACACACACATACACATATACACACATACACACATATACACACACACACATATACACACACACATACACATATACACACATACACACATATACACACACACACATATACACACACACATACACATATACACACATACACACATATACACACACACACATATACACACACACATACACATACACCTTGAATTATGTATCTTCTATAAGTTTTCTCTTCAGAATCTTTCACATATAATATTTATTCTCTGGGAAATTAGTCTTAAAAAAGTTTATTACTTGCATGTTAGGTAATGTTTTAATCAACTGACTTGGACTAATGCCGTGTTCTTCCACTCAGATGGTTTTATACATACATGTATACAATACATAAATATACAGTACATGTATATAATTCCAATATAAATTTTCCAATGAGGAAGTTCTTCATTTCTATATATTAAACAGAAGAATTATTTCTGAGGTCATTTTCTCCTGTTTCTGTTCAGTTTTCCATTGTGTTTCCTCACACGTGTGTTTCCTTTTCAGGACGAGGCAGAAAACACCAACGAGCTTACTAATAGTACTAACCCTTGTTTGTAGCACGTAACCTAGCCTGGGCACGGGTGTGTGGAGAGAGGCAGGGTCTTGCTTCCTTCACTCCACAGGAAGGCCTCACACTTCTCTCACTGTTGCATGTTTTTGTTTTTTGCACCTGCTACACTAAACATACCCGGTGAGCATGATATAAACCCGCTATTTATAAGACTATACCTTAGTGATGGTGATGGTGGTGGATTCTGTGCAACGTGTTCAATGTTCATGATGACACCGCGTCATGAACGTGTGCAGTGTTCATGGTGACTACTACACCTCGCGTCATGAGCGTGTGCAGTGTTCATGACGAAGACACCTCTGGTGTTGCTACACGACTCGCCACAAGCCACCCTCGGTGCGACTTCATCCCCCATTGACTTTTTATTTCAGACTCTGGACGTGAGTACGACGCAGAGAGACTTCGAGTTCGCTGATACGTCAGACTTTTCTCTTCTCTTCTTTTTCATTGATTGACATACGTTAAGCTTTCTATGACAAGCATTAGTTACCTAAAATTTGATATCGAAACGACCATTGACCCTGTATGAGCCTGAAGTGACCGTGTTGACCTAACATGTGGCATCCATCATTTTCCTCCTAACCTAACATTAACTGGTCCCTCCCTGGGCGACTGCCTCCAGCAGTTCTTGCAGTCGCTTCTCTCTCCTGCCAGTGTTCCATCGCCTCTCCATCTTATAATCCTTAGCAGGAAAAATAACCATGTTGCTAGCTATCATAATTACATCCCAGCCTTCTCCCATTCCTGCTTTATCCACGATCCTCATAACTGTAATGAAAGCTGAGCGAAGTTTTCATTCATCCTGACAAGACTGCCTGTTTACCTGTGTTGATAATCTGCTAGCGCCCTTGCCACTCTCACCTATATCCTCACCTGCTCCTGTATCCTCATCCTCTCCTGCCCCGGGCACTCGTGCCCACCACCTACCCCGGCGTAGTATAGGGCCTCACTAACTAGGCCGCGTCTGTATAGGCCCCAATGGACTTCCGGTGGCGGCGCAGGTCCGTGACAACGGTGACCACACCTTCAGAGTGGAGTTCGCACCGCGAAGTGCTGGTGAACACAGAATCCACGTAGCGTACAGCGGCGAGGCCATCCCAGGTTCCCCCTTCAGTTGTAAAGTGTACGATGTGTCAGCCATCAAGGTGCGGCCAGTTGAACGTGGCATGGTGGCAAAGCCTGTCACCTTCCTTGGTAAGTTGCTCTTCAACACCCGCTTCACTATCCATATGTTGCATGTGTTTTGATTTAAATTTGCTTAATATGCTGATGCATATTTATTAAGTAGTGGGTAATGTTTGCACAGTTTTCATAAAGTCATGTCGTAAGAATTATGAGGTCATTAAAAGCAGTAACACTGCAGTGAACATTGCTCTGAGTCATTATTTGTATTTCTCACAGTGGAGACGAATAACGCTGGACCGGGTAACTTGGAGGTGACTGTCAACAACGGGCAGGTCCCTACCAGTGCCCAGGCTCAGGGCAATCACGTCTACGCTATCTCCTTCACACCCAAGGAAGCCAAGCCACACGTAGTAGAACTTAAGTTCAATGGGGAGAACGTGCCAGGCTCACCTTTCTCGTGTGAGGTGGTGGACGTGTCACGAGTCACTGTGGCTGGCACTGGCCTGGAGAAGGTTCCTGTCGACCAGCCAGCCACCTTCACTGTCGACTCTCAGGTCAGCAGTCTCATCCCTAGTTTAATGTTGTGTTAAAATTAAGTATACATACTGAATATCATTAAGACATATGAAAATATATGCTTGAGATTTGTTCTTTGTAAAATTATTTTTATTTTAATACATTACTCTGTTGATAATTCCGATAACAAATCAACTGGTGGTGAATTGTGTTATCTGTAAGATGGTATATTCACTCAGCATGAGTGGCACTGCTCAGTACTGTGCTTCAAGTGGTATATTAGCTCAGAATATACGTAACACTCTCCAGCAGTGCAAATAAGAACTAATTGATCTATTAGATGATATGACGCAAGATAAGAAAATATGAGAACCAAAACAAGTTGCAGAGATTATAACGTTTCGCTGTGTGTAAAGTTTGATCAAGTCAAGCAGAGGTTACCGTTAAAATCCATTGTGTCCCTGGAATGTAAGGTGCAAATAGATGAGTAGTGAGGTGGTCACTTGAGGTAGAATCATTGAAGTGTGAAAGTCGTAGGTCAGGGTCCTGGGATGATGGTGCTAGTAGAGGAACAATGAAGTTCATGTACTGGTCGAAGCTAAGTTTAGAATATTGCTTTGTCATAAGTCGGTAACTGTCTATGTAATAAGAAGTGTGCTGCAAAAACTTTGGCAATATTCAGTGGTGTTTTGTGTGCTAAGGACCTTTGCTTCTATCATTTTCTTTCCCTTCCTTGATGATGAGTTTGCCACCGTTATATGACATGTGTGTTGTTATTAACTCATTCGTTGGGGAGAGTTAAACTCCTAGGGGTCGTACAACGTCTGGGGAAAATAAGAGGGATTTAAGTTCGATGCAAGGAAGGGAAGCACAGGTTCACTTCCTTAGATCGAGAGCCTCTTTCCAGCATCAAGGAACCTCCCTTGAGGAGCCATAAGATGTAAGTATTTGTCTTAGACGACACGCATCGTTGTTTTTAGTTCTGCAAGCATTTATTGCTCTTGTATTTTGGTACATAAATTATGGAAAGTCTTTCCCATAAATTATCTCTCACATCCAACGCAGGAAATGGTTCAGGCTCTGGTACTCGTGTTATTCCTACTGTGTGTTCTGATTTAGTGATATCTCGTAAGGTTTTACAGTGATGATTATGACATTGGTGCCACATTCTTCAGCGCCTTGAACTACATCAGCAGTGGCTGGAGAACAAGTATGGTGATACCCACAGTGTGTAGATAAAGACACATGCATATACAGGGGATCGAACCACGGACTTCAATGTGTGAGCTAAGTACGGGATACCATGGTGAACGAGTTCACTCGAATTGCGTGGCCCTGGCCAACTACCATCACAAAATAAATTGTTCATAGTTCAGGACATTTGTTGAAACGTTTTGCTACGAGTGGTTCCTTCAGCCCTCAGGACTGAGAAGCCACGAGTGGTTCCTTCAGCCCTCAGGACTGAGAAGCCACGAGTGGTTCCTTCAGTCCTCAGGACTGAATGAAGGACTGAGAAGCCACGAGTGGTTCCTTCAGTCCTCAGGACTGAATGAAGGACTGAGAAGCCACGAGTGGTTCCTTCAGTCCTCAGGACTGAATGAAGGACTGAGAAGCCACGAGTGGTTCCTTCAGTCCTCAGGACTGAATGAAGGACTGAGAAGCCACGAGTGGTTCCTTCAGCCCTCAGGACTGAGAAGCCACGAGTGGTTCCTTCAGCCCTCAGGACTGAGAAGCCACGAGTGGTTCCTTCAGCCCTCAGGACTGAGAAGCCACGGGTGGTTCATTCAGCCCTCAGGGCTGAGAAGCCACGAGTGGTTCCTTCAGCCCTCAGGACTGAGAAGCCACGAGTGGTTCCTTCAGCCCTCAGGGCTGAGAAGCCACGAGTGGTTCCTTCAGCCCTCAGGACTGAGAAGCCACGAGTGGTTCCTTCAGCCCTCAGGACTGAGAAGCCACGAGTGGTTCCTTCAGTCCTCAGGACTGAGAAGCCACGAGTGGTTCCTTCAGCCCTCAGGACTGAGAAGCCACGAGTGGTTCCTTCAGCCCTCAGGACTGAGAAGCCACGGGTGGTTCCTTCAGCCCTCAGGGCTGAGAAGCCACGAGTGGTTCCTTCAGCCCTCAGGACTGAGAAGCCACGAGTGGTTCCTTCAGCCCTCAGGGCTGAGAAGCCACGAGTGGTTCCTTCAGCCCTCAGGACTGAGAAGCCACGAGTGGTTCCTTCAGCCCTCAGGACTGAGAAGACACGAGTGGTTCCTTCAGCCATCAGGACTGAGAAGCCACGAGTGGTTCCTTCAGCCGTCAGGACTGAGAAGCCACGAGTGGTTCCTTCAGCCCTCAGGACTGAGAAGCCACGAGTGGTTCCTTCAGTCCTCAGGACTGAATGAAGGACTGAGAAGCCACGAGTGGTTCCTTCAGCCCTCAGGACTGAGAAGCCACGAGTGGTTCCTTCAGCCCTCAGGACTGAGAAGCCACGAGTGGTTCCTTCAGCCCTCAGGACTGAGAAGCCACGAGTGGTTCCTTCAGTCCTCAGGACTGAATGAAGGACTGAGAAGCCACGAGTGGTTCCTTCAGCCCTCAGGACTGAGAAGCCACGAGTGGTTCCTTCAGCCCTCAGGACTGAGAAGCCACGAGTGGTTCCTTCAGTCCTCAGGACTGAATGAAGGACTGAGAAGCCACGAGTGGTTCCTTCAGTCCTCAGGACTGAGAAGCCACGAGTGGTTCCTTCAGCCCTCAGGACTGAGAAGCCACGAGTGGTTCCTTCAGTCCTCAGGACTGAATGAAGGACTGAGAAGCCACGAGTGGTTCCTTCAGTCCTCAGGACTGAATGAAGGACTGAGAAGCCACGAGTGGTTCCTTCAGTCCTCAGGACTGAATGAAGGAGTGAGAAGCCACGAGTGGTTCCTTCAGTCCTCAGGACTGAATGAAGGAGTGAGAAGCCACGAGTGGTTCCTTCAGTCCTCAGGACTGAGAAGCCACGAGTGGTTCCTTCAGCCCTCAGGACTGAAAAGCCACGAGTGGTTCCTTCAGTCCTCAGGACTCCATGAAGGACTGAGAAGCCACGAGTGGTTCCTTCAGTCCTCAGGACTGAATGAAGGACTGAGAAGCCACGAGTGGTTCCTTCAGTCCTCAGGACTGAATGAAGGACTGAGAAGCCACGAGTGGTTCCTTCAGTCCTCAGGACTGAATGAAGGACTGAGAAGCCACGAGTGGTTCCTTCAGTCCTCAGGACTGAATGAAGGAGTGAGAAGCCACGAGTGGTTCCCTCAGACCTCAGGACTGAATGAAGGACTGAGAAGCCACGAGTGGTTCCTTCAGTCCTCAGGACTGAATGAAGGACTGAGAAGCCACGAGTGGTTCCTTCAGTCCTCAGGACTGAATGAAGGAGTGAGAAGCCACGAGTGGTTCCTTCAGTCCTCAGGACTGAATGAAGGAGTGAGAAGCCACGAGTGGTTCCCTCAGACCTCAGGACTGAATGAAGGAGTGAGAAGCCACGAGTGGTTCCTTCAGTCCTCAGGACTGAATGAAGGAGTGAGAAGCCACGAGTGGTTCCCTCAGACCTCAGGACTGAGAAACCACGAGTGACAAAACGTTTCTTGGGTAAATGTATTGAACTGTGTGTGTGTGTGTGTGTGTGTGTGCACACCTAGTTGTACTTAGTCGTGGTTGCAGGGGTTGAGTCACAGCTCCTGGCCCCGCCTCTTCGCTGGCCGCTACTAGGTCACACTTCCCGCTCCATGAGGTTTAGCATACCTCGTCATCAAGCTATGTATGGATCCTGCCTCAACAACATCACTTTCCAGACTATTCCACTTCCGACAACTATTTGACTGAAGAAATACTTCCTAACATCCCTATGATTCAGCTGAGTCTTCAACTTTCAACTGTGACTCCTTGTTGCTGTGTCCCATCTCTGGAATATCCTGTCTCTGTCCACCTTGTCGATTCCTCTCGGTATTTTGTATGTCCTTATCTTATCCCCCCTCTCTCTCCTGTCCTCCAGTGTCGTCAGGTCGATTTCTCTTAACCTCTCCTCGTAGGACTTACCCCTCAGCTCCGGGACCAGTCTAGTTGCAAACATTTGCACTTTCTCTAGCTTCTTTACATGCTTGGCTAGGTGTGGGTTCCAAATTGGTACTGCATATTCCAGTATGGGCATAACATAACAGTGTACAGGGTCCTGAACGATTCCTTATCAATATGCCGGAATGCTGTTCTTAAGTTTGCTAGGCACCCGTAAGCTGCCGCAGTTATTTGGTTGATGTGCGCCTCAGGAGAAGTGTCCGGTGTTTTACTTACCCCAAAATCCTTTTCATTGAGTGAGGTTTGTAGTCTCTGGCCCCCTAGACTGTACTTCGTCTGCAGTCTTCTTTGCCCTTCCCCAATCTTCATGACTTTGCACTTGGTGGGGTTGAACTCCAGGAACCAATTGCTGGCCCAGGCCTGCAGCCAGTCCAGATCCCTTCGTAGTTCTGCCTGGTCCCCGTCCGATTGAATTCTTCTCATCAACTTCACATCTGCAGACAGCGACACTTTGGAGTCTATTCCTTCTGTCATGTAGTTCACAAATACCAGAAACAGCACTGGTCCTAGGACTGACCCCTGTGGAACCCCGCTCGTCACAGGCGCCTACTCTGTCGCCTCACCACGTACCATGACCCGCTGTTGTCTTCCTGACAGGTATTCCTTGATCCATTGTAGTGCCTTCCCTGTTATCCCTGCCTGGTCCTCCAGCTTTTGCACTAATCTCTTGTGTGGAACTATGTCAAACGCTTTCTTACAGTCCAAGAAAATGGAATCTACCCACCATTCTCATGTCTTACTGCTGTCACCCTGTCATAGAACTCCAGTAGGTTTGTGACTCAGGATTTCCCATCCCTGAAACCGTGCTGGCTGTCGTTGATAAGCTCATTCGTTTCTAGGTGCTCCACCACTTTTCTCCTGATCTTCTCCATGACTTTGCATACTATACATGTTAGTGACACTGGTCAGTAGTTTAGTACTTCGCGTCTGTCTCCTTTTTTAAAAATTCGGTCTGCATTTG